GCCACCATGTCGCCTAATTATTTTTTTCTAATTTAAAAAAAAATATTAAATTAAAAATTTTGATATAAATGTGCAAAGATTTCAAACATTTTTTTTTCATGTTGTCATTATGGGGTGTTATTTGTAGAACTTTGGGGAAAAGAATCAATTTAATACATTCATGCAATAAGGCTATAACATAACAAATTGTGAAAAAGTGAAGCACTCTGCATGCTTTCTGAACGCCCTGTACAAGACTTAATTAAACTTCTTCAGTATGTCTGATGTCAGCACCTAAAATGTATTGGAAGTACTACATTAAAATAACACATTACATTTTATGCTCAAATCCAAGGATGCCTGGGGAAAGGAGTGCACTTTCTGTGAGATTTTTATCACATTCTTTAATGGTGATGTGTCTGACTGACCACCTCTGATTAGATCAACTGAGATGAATATACCATATAAACATATGGCCTTTAGTTATTCTCTCTTTCTTTCTTGAGAGCTCACAGCTTATTCGACTGTGTTTCACAAGGAGGACAGAATTAATTATATGTGAATTTCATGTAGGTTGAAGCCTGGTAGTATTAATTCCTTAATAAATGAGCCATTGAAATGAAATATTTTCACCTAATATTAACCCAGACATCATGTAAACACACAAACCCCCTTGACGCAAGTGGACGTAGCCTACACAAACACACCCTGAAGTACATTAATACAGCCTCTAAGAGACTTTAGCCCTGTTTAGTCCTTCATTAGAAGTGTGCTTTATTCGTGCACGCTCATTAAAGACACTCTAAGAGTCTTGGACAATGCTGGTCTGTACGTCTGTTTGAAGGGAAACTCTGCTGCTACCAGATTTATGTCCGTTTTATTTGGCTCTCAGTCAAAAACACTCTATCAGTGAAAATGACTGTTCAGATGGGAATCAATTCATATGGCTGCAAATTCCTCAATGGCCTCAGGGTGCAATTAAAAAGGATTTCTGGCCTTGACTTACTTCAGGAGATGTTTAAAAACTGGGAAGGTGAAAAATTTGAGATTAAGGTAATTTAAGGTGTAATTTGAAGGTGCACAGAGGCAAGATGTAAAACGGCATCAGGTAACAATGTTAAAATTATCTAAAAAAAAAAAGAGAGAATGTTTTTTCTTACTTTTTTTGAGATTGTAAAACAGATGGGCACCACACCGGCTCGGCCGAACATGTCCCTTTTTCACATCAGATCAACAGGCTGTATCTCATACTGCAGTCCAGAACCCTCTGGACTTCCTGGGAATCTGCACTTTATACAATCAAACAAGCAATTAAATTAAGTCCAGTAGGAAATATCATTTAGGACAATGTTCCTATAAGAAGAAAAAAAATCTTTAAAAATACGATTTTATCTATTATTATGCAATAACAGACTGTCACACTTCATTTGCCTCATGCTTCAATGTTTAGTTTTGTAAACACCATTCAGCAAACATCGCCATCTGGTGGTTTCTGAAAAAGTAAGCGACATTTAAAGTGTTGATTTTAATCGAAGAACACTAGCGACATCTACAGAGCAGTGATAGGAAACATTAGTAAATAATTTTGAGATTAGTTGAGACTGATTTATATATGATCATAATAATAAGACAAATTACAAATCATAATAATTATAACAAATAATATAATTAGCAATCAAATAATCAGTTGTTTCTCTCAGCGTCTGTGATATTGCTTGGTATTGTGAGACTATGAATTCCAGTGACACGTTTTTATGAAGCTGCACAAGTTTCAGCAGTTTTATATGCGCTTGGACAGAAGCCCTGAAGCTGCATCCTAATGAGCGGCAGCTCTGCCTTTTAAACATACTGAAATGAGTGGCTGCATACATGCAGCATACAGTCTATAGTTTATAATAGCAGAGTGTTGCGAGAGGTGTAATAAATAAATAAATAAACAAATATAAGAAGAGATGGAGTTAAACCCAAATATAATGTCACATAATAAATCACTGAGGGAAAAAAAGCATAGGCACATCAGCACACTTTGGGACCAAAGCTAAGACATCTAGATCTGAGCTAAGACAGAGAAACTGAAAATACTATAAATACTCATAATGTATGAAACAAGAACAACAACATTTTTAAATAGATTTATGTACAAGAAAAAGAAAAACTGCTGGGATGTAAAATACTGACCCAGATAGACTCTTTCGCTAGCTGCTAGATTTCTTTTACATGTCAGCAGGATGCCAATAAGACACATTGTAACTTGTCTAAACGAGTCCATGAGCATTTCCTTATGAAGCTTCTGTGCAAAATGTGCATTAACATTGAGTTGATATGTCTGTTATTATTTTACACTGTTGCGATTGATTAACTAATCGCAAACCGATTAAAAATAAAACTTGATTTACTTTTATAATTATTGTTGCATATAATTGCTTTTTCCGAATTATATAATTCATAATATCCATTATTAGTAGTAGTAGTAGTATTTAAAAGACCGCCATGTGCTGCCTGGAAATGTCTTGACGCAAAGCATGGTCTTCAATCCGCAATGTAAAAACCTCTGCCATAAGAGGGCGCCAAAGGCACAACACGGCAGGTAAATGTCAAATTATTAGCCTTTAGCTAGTCCTGTCAGAATGTGAAGAAGAAATAAATTTAAAGAAAACCCTGATTATATATTTATTAAAAAAAGTGTGGTGGAATGAGAAAATCAAGTAAATGAACGTTTGGGCAAATGATCCTTAAAACTGAAATTCATGAAGTCAGTTGAGATAAGGAATTTTACTAAGACGTACAGCTAAAAGTTGGATACTTTACTAGGACACACAACCTTCTGACTGAAAAACACACGGTGCCTTATCCATTAGTGGTAAAGTGTTCTCGCTTCCTGTTACACAATAGTTAGTAATCAGTGAGCAGATTCTTCAAAGTAGACGTTTTGTCTTTCAAAAGAAAGGTGTAAGCAACATCCATGTGAGACCTGTTGTGAGGTGTGTTCAGTGAATATTCACACAAGGATAATAACACCTGACTTTCATTTAATTGTGTTATTTCTATTAACTTTCATTTGATCTTTTTAAACTAACACACTTAGAGTTTTGTCCAACATTGTGCAATTCAAATATAATACGTAATATTAATAAAATTGGGTGACGCAGTGGCGCAGTAGCTAATGCTGTTGCTTCACAGCAAGAAGGTCTCTGGTTCTAGTCTTGGCTGGGTCGTTTAGCATTTCTGTATGGAGTTTGCATGTTCTCCCCGCTTTCACGTGGGTTTCCTCCAGGTGCTCCTGTTTCCCACACAAGTCTAAAGACATGCGGTAAAGGTGAATTGGGTAAGCTAAAATTGTCCGTTGTGTATGTGTTTGAATGAGAGTGTATGGGTGTTTCCCAGTGAAGGGTTGCAGCTGGAAGGGCATCCGCTGTCTAAAACATGCTGGATAAGTTGGTGGTTCATTCTGCTGTGGAGCCCCAGATTAATAAAAGGACTAAGTCGAAAAGAAAATTAATGAATAAATAATACAATATAGGGCAGTGCGGTGGTGCAGTGGTTAGCGCTGTCGTATCACAGCTGGTTCGTGCCTCGGCTGGGTCAGTTGGCGTTTTTGTGGGGAGTTTGCATATTCTCCTTATGTTTGCGTTGATTTCCTCTGGGTGCGCCCATTTCCCTCACAAGTCCAAAGACATGCGGTATAGGCCTAGGTGAATTGGGTAAGCTAAACTGACCGCAGTGTATGTGTGTGAATGTCAGTGTATGGGTGTTTCCCACTGATGGGTTGCAGCTAGAAGGGCATTCGCTGCGTAAAACATATGATAGATAAGTTGACAATTCATTCCGCTGTGGCGACCCCTGATTAACAAAGGGACTAAGCCGAAAGGAAAATGAATGAATGAATGATGTATTATAAAATGTTTTACAGAGGTAATGGTAATGAGAAACATTTATTCATTCATTCATTTTCTTTCATAGTCCCTTTATTAATCTGGGATCGCCACAGAGGAATCAACCGCCAACTTATACAGCATATGTTTTATGCAATGGATGTCCTTCCAGCTGCAACCCATCTCTGGGAAACATCCATACACACTCATTCACAATGGACAATTTAGCCAACCCAATTCACCTGTACCACATATCTTTGGACTAGCGGGGGAAACCGGAGCACCCGGAGGAAACCGAACGTAGAGAGAACATGCAAACTCCACACAGAAACGCCAACTCACACAGCCAAGACTTGAACCAGCAACCTTTTTGCTGTGAGGCGACAGCACTACCTACTGTGCCACCGCATCGCTGTAATGAGAAACAGCCTTGGTTAAATCGTATTTCCAATTGAAATAAAAATGATGATCAATGATGTAATATTTTACAATTTTATATACCCTTATATTTTATTTTAACTATTTAAATAGGCCTATTGTTGACACATCATATTGTTTGAAGTCTATAAAGACCAAATTATTAGCAATCACAGTTTAAAATCCTTTAAACAAAAGAACTCAAATCCATGTAGTTTCTTCAGGGCAGGGCGACAGAAGGACCTGACCTTAGGCAACCAAAAATGGAAACCTTAATTACGGACTACTTCAACAGTCCCACATCTTCTGTGGTTATGTTGCATCCCGTTCCTTGAAAGGAAACATTTCAGTGATATTCAAAAAACTGAAGCCTCAGACTTGAATTTTAAAGCTTTCATTCTCAGTGCAGAAGTTGATGCCCGAAATAGGTCAGAACTACCATCCTGTGTTATCAAGCTGTTACCTATTAACTTGTTGGAACAAGCTGTAGTTTTTTACGCTCATGCCTTGCCAACTATTTCCTTTGGCTATGCAGACAAAATCCACAAACGTGTTTGCCCTAAGAACAAAAACCTCTGACAGAATTTTTTAGCAAAAACATTGTATAGGATTATACTTTAATCTCTTTTTATACAGATACTGTAATCTATTTGGGCTTTAACTCTTAAAAGAATCAAACAATCATTAATGTTCCTTTTCCTTGTCTTTTCCAGACTGTGACTCGTGTTTTAGCCGGGAAACTGGAGTGGGAAAGACTGCTGCGAGAGCAAGGGGAAAAAGTGAGACAGGCCAAAGTGTCAGAGCCTCTCTATTTGTTGGCCCTGGAGGAGGGGCCGGGGGAGGAAGGTGGTGACTATGCTAATGGATTCAGAGGAAGTGAGGGAAGACTAGAGGAATGTGTTGGAGATTTCAGGGAGAGTTCAGCTGGGAACGTGATATCTGCCAAAAGAAGAGAAACAGAAGGACTGATCCGCACACTAAACACATGAAAACATGCCTCATTTCACTGTGGTACCAGTGCAGGATAACTCACCGTCCAACTATGATAGCCTGGAAGGAATAAACTGGGTTGATTACCGGGACACAGGACAGGGAGAATACCCTGGACATGGAGACACAGTTAGCTCAGATGGTAAGTTCTCTTTTTTTTCATAACAGTCTCATCTAGCTATAAAACTTGACTTTAGCTAAAACAGCAGCTGAGTTTGAATAGTTTTAAAACTAGATGAAGTGTTTTATTTAACTTATAAATTCTTGACAGACGTTCTCAAACCATCAGCAATGGTAACCATGGCAATTGTTGAGACATATGACGTCATATTACTGCTTGCATCCCAGGAAATACTGAAGGAGCTTGTTCACGTTGATGAAGTTGTCTTTATATAAAATGGCGTAAATTTGATGTAAGGGGAGGGATTTTACAGTAACTCAAGCTGAGACTCTTGGCACAGTTCTGACATGCCAGTCACCAGTGCGGTGACAAAGGAAAACAATCAAGGGCCCAAGCAGAGGCGGGACCGGGGGGGTTGCAATAATAGGACAGGCCTCAAGTATTCATGGACACAAAAGATGAAGCTCTCTTTCTTTGTGCCAAGACAGCAGCTGAGGGTTTAACTGGCATTTTGTTCCTCCATCTTGTTTGTTTCTCTATTGCATTTCAAAAGACAGAAGCCAATGGTAGAAAGAGCCATGTGCTGCCCTCGAGGCATGATTTAGGGATATGAGCATCTGTTTACTACAGCTGTATGCGGCATATGGAGAGACCACCAGTTATGTGAAGATGGTGTTGTCTTCGCAGTTGCCCTTTGTGTTAGAGTAAAAAGAGCAATTTTGGAGTTCATATGCTAGTGAGGTAAATGTGATCACACCACCACACACTGTTCTTAAAAGTGTAATGGCTTTGTGCCTTATCTACTGTCCCTCTAAAGGTGTGTTTTAGTTATTTAAAACAGTCATACAGACTTTTAGATAAACTTTTCAAGCTAAGGAAGCTAATACTATGGATGATCTTTAATGGATAAATAATGTACAAATAAGTACCTTTAAAGGATACTGTCCCAGTGATAAGCTGTTGTACTCCTAAATGTACAATTATTTTATTCTGGGAGTGCCACCAAAGCACTTGTTACAAATGTTTTACTGTAAGTGAGGTGAAAATGTGAGTATTGCAGCAGGAGCTGGTCATGTCTTGTTTATGCCTTTAGGCATTAAAATAATAACAAAATGCTGAGCTTGCATGTTAAAGTGCATGAACAAAGTGATTCTCTGAATGAATCACCCTAGCAATATAAAACAAAACAAAATCAAATACTTACTCTACATGTAAGTTTGTGCCTTACAGGTCTCCATATTTTTATATAGCTAATAATAAATTAAGCATTGCAACCTCAAAAACTAAAAAAAAATAAATTCAGAATTGTTTTATTTTTAGATAGGTAGATAGATAGACAGACGGACAGACAGACAGACAGATAAATAGACAGACAGACAGACAGACAAATAGACAGACAGATAGACAGACAAATACACAAACAAATAGACAGACAGACATTCAGACAGACAGATAAATAAATAGACAGTCAGACCAACATACGGATAAAAAGATAAATGAATAAATAAATAAATAAATAAATAAATAAATAAATAAATAAATAAATAGACAGACAGACCAACATACGGATAAAAAGATAAACGAATAAATAAATAAATAGACAGACAGACAGACAGACAGACCAACATACAGATAAAAAGATAAATGAATAAATAAATAAATAGACAGACAGACAGACAGACAGACAGACCAACATACGGATAAAAGATAAATGAATAAATAAATAAATAAATAGATAAATAGACAGACAGACATACAGACAGATAAATAAATAGACAGACAGACAGACAAATAGACAGACAGACAGACAGACAGATAGATAGATAGATAGATAGATAGATAGATAGATAGATAGATAGATAGATAGATAGATAGATAGATAGATAGATAGATAGATAGATAGATAGATAGATAGATAGATAGATAGACAGACAAATAGACAGACAGACAGACAGACAGACAGACAGACAGACAGATAGATAGATAGATAGATAGATAGATAGATAGATAGATAGATAGATAGATAGATAGATAGATAGATAGATAGATAGACAGACGGACGGACGGACGGACGGACGGACGGACGGACGGACGGACGGACAGACAGACAGACAGACAGACAGACAGATAAATAAATAGACAGACAGACAGACAGATAGACAGATAAATAGATAAATAGATAGATAGATAGATAGATAGATAGATAGATAGATAGATAGATAGATAGATAGATAGATAGATAGATAGATAGATAGATAGATAGATAGATAGATAGATAGATAGATAGATAGATAGATAGATAGATAGATAGACCAAATGTTATGCACTTTTGAGTGCAAATTTATCACTGGCTCTTTAAATAAAATATATGACCTCTTAACTCCAACTGTGGAAAAAAACAGCCTCAAAATCTATAAAAGTACCATTACATAATTATTTTTCTGTGTTTATAATATCCTAGATGAAGATGTGTTTGCCCATAACAGGGCATGTCTAAATATAATAAACCCTCAGCTGGTACTTAATGTGTCTGCATATTTGTTGTGGTAGTGATTTAACATTCAGTTTCACCGCCTGTTGATGACTTCATAGACATGAGAAACAAGGTTGTAGATTTCCTTGTATCAGATAGGTTTGCATGAAGGTGAATGAAGGAGAGTATGGGACTATGTGGCAGCTGCTGGTTGATTTTTTTTTTACTTGAGGAGAGGCAAAGCAGTAGCAGGGTGTTCACACTGCTAACTTTGTTTTTTAGTTTGCCAGTTCAGCGATGTTTAGAGCAGGACAGCACACAGCCCTCATTGTGCTGAAATGGGCCTGACATGGAAAAGCACGGGCTCTCAGTCAACGCCATACACCCTGTTATGCCTTGCTCTCATAAAAACAGATGAAGACTGGGAGGGAGAGACTTTTATTGAAAATATTAAATGAATCATTACATCCTTATTCTGAGAGTTCCTCAAGCTTCCAGAGATCCTTGAAAACACTGATAATGTATAATTCATTTGATAACATGTTCAAACACAAGTGCACATTAGATAGATTCATGCTGTCCAATTTTTCTTCTTCTTCTCTTTAAACCGTATAAATTACAAGGATGAACTACTATACTGCATGCATTCTTTGACAAGGTATGGATTGGACAAGGCTTGCTTTTTAAGTGGGCATAATACAAAATCAGCGGCTGTGTTCTACCAAAATAGGCTTCTGAGGCAGAGAGAGGTGGTCATCCACTTCATAACCTAAAGGACTTATTTGATACTGGAAAAAACAAAATCAACATCATTCTACTTTCAAGTGAGAGCTGCCTGGCAGTCCTTAACAGTAAGAATGTCTTTGGCTCCTCAAGGTTATAATACTTTCCACAAAGAGGACACAAATTAGTTTTCGCTGAAAGAGGGCTGTACCCGAAAAGCACAGAATGTCTTTGATTTATCTCTTGCTAATCTCATATATAAAATTGTTTTGTTGACTTGATAAAGATCAAGAACAGAGTTAATAAATAAGTATTAAAGCAGTCATTGATCTGCTTTGGGGCCTACTGAAGGGTCATCTAAAACTCATGTGCTGAATGAAAGCACAGAGCTCTCAAATTATGCAATTACACACACACACACACACACACACACACACACACACACACACACACACACACACACACACACACACACACAAAATTAATAATAGTTTTATTCAGCAAACGTGACTGTAAATACATTTTTTATTAAACAAAAGTTGTTGTTTTTTTTACCAATAAACACTTTCAGTTCATCAAATAATGAAAAAAAAAGTCTTAATGCTTAAACATTTTTAAAATAATAATAACAACAAAAACAACAACAATAATAATAATAATAATGATAGTAATGTTTCCACAACAACAACAACATTAATAATAATAATAATAATAATAATAATAATAATAATAATAATAATAATAATTTATTTTCTGCATATTACAATGATTTCTGAAGGATCATGTCACACTCAATACTGAGGTTATTATGATGCTGAAAAGTGTAAATGACATATTAAAATACATTGCAATTGAAAACGCTTATTATACAACTATAATAATAATATTTCACAGAGTTTTTGTACCAAGCACAACCCTTTAAACAGTATTCACTACATAATAAAAGCAACTTTAGATAATGGAAGTTGCACAAGGTTAAAAAATAAAAAAAGAGTTGTTTTATGTTTCATGGTATCTGCTGTCATGTTTTCAAGAATAAATGAAATGTTATGGAGAGCAAGGTGGTTGTTGTGTTTTGAAAAAAAAAAAAAAAACTCACAAGCCACAAACAAACAAACAATCATCATACATCATACATGACAATCTTTTAAACCAGTGTATCTCAACCACGTTCCTGGTTCCTAGAGGACAACCAACACTGCATGTTTTGGATATTTCCTTTGTCACACCTATTACAGGTCTTTCAGTCTCTGCTCATGAGCTGATGATCTGAATCAGGTGTGTTTAGTAAAGGAGACATGGAAAATGTGCAGAGCTGGTGGTCCTCCAGGAACATGGTTGAGAAACACTGTTTTAAACAACACACACACACACACACACAATACACTTTAACAGTTGATAGACCACAAACCTGTTACACTTTGCTATAATTAATAATTTTAAGTCGGAGGAACAAATTTATTCTGACATCACGAGATAACAAAACAACAAAATCAGCAGTGCAAATAAAAGCTGGCTATTAATTATTCATACTCAAGTGCACAAACATATTGAAGTTGAACTATATTAGTGCACACCTCATGTTGGTTTGACATTTATATGACTTATAAACTAGAACTAGAATGTAAGCAATAAATCAATGATAAAAAAATTTAATAATAATAATAGCAATAATAGTAATATTACAATAAAGACCTAAAAATACCTTCTCGTCTTAGAATGCTTGTCATTCAAAATAAAAATAATAGTATAATAACTTATATTAACGATTTAAAACATTAAACTATTTACAGCTATTACAGCTCCTGTACAACATTAGCTGTTT